ACGAGAGAGAAGCCAGCGACGCGGCGCCTCTATCGGCCCAACCGGAAACTCCGTTAGCTGCATTCGGCTGGTGCGGCGCTCGTCCGACAACGCTTGTGCGGTGCGTTCAAGTGCCGTCTGACGGCAGTTCAAGCGTTCAGTCGCCGTCCCGAAGTGTTAATCACAGGTCATGCTAGTTCTGACATCTTGTCCTGACAGCCGCTCGCCACCGATTTGTTTCATAAGGCGGGAGCGAGAAAAACGTTACAAGAGCGAGCATGCAGCATGATTTTTTGCATAAGCTAATTAATGCCTGTGCCGTAGAGACGCGCGGTCTCTTCGTCATATTTCCGAGGGTAAAAGCGCTGAAAATAACAAACAACGCCCTGTGTTGCTTGTTTCTTTTGCTTGTCAGTTGTTTTTAGAGCTTTTACCCTCGGAAATTAGGTCTCTTCGCGTTTACCGAACCGGCACACCTTTTACGTTTACGATTGTGTGATGCAAAAAATAAAAGAAGATTAGATGTCACGTTTTGTAGTAGTGGCGAAAGCCCTTACAAAAATCAGATCAGCTGGAAAAAGCAAAAACATGAAAAAAGGCGGAAAAAATTAACTAATGTCGAACCTGAACCTTTGATGGAGTTCAAACATTACCACCGTACCAACTCGCCCGGTTATTCTTTCTGTCAAAGGATAATAGCCAATAGTAATAAACAAATAAATGCCAACTATTAATTAATTACAAAGTCGTAATTGGTGCAGTGCATCCCTACGCTACTCTACTCTTTTGATGATATCAGGTAATGTGTAAACGTATAGGGCAGTTCATAGCAACCATTTATGCCCGACCCATTATATTGAGTTTTTTCTTTATAAAAAAGTGATATGAAAAAAAGTGGTCTTCCTAAATTAAGCCGAACCACTGTATGTACAATAGCGTGTAACGTTTATGTATGTTCTCGGCAAAAGAAAAGGATGTATTAAAAAAATGCCAGTCATTTTGTTTGCTCTCTGTTGGAGCTTTATTCACGTACATGCAAAAGGTGGGTGTCTACATCTAAAAGAGTGGAATTGACATTTCCTGCAGGGCTGGGAGGCCTGACTCCGTTTGGCTAGCAGCATGAAACCTATGGGAACCTGCGGAACTGAACCACAAGAGTGAGAGTGACACCCGCCTTGCACTTCCTGAACGATGGCACCATGAGGAAGGGGGAGCTGCCCTAGAGTGAATGCAATAGCAGGTGGGTCGTTCCAGTGAACCCCTATACAGATGATATCAAGCAGAAAATTATTAATAAATGTGTTATTAAAACATGGAATGTGAATGGCACGGACAAGAAGGAGGAGATCAACACAGCGCTGTGTTGTGTTCATATACTCCGTTCCCATATTCTTCATGATTTCTTTTCAATAATTGGCTACTAACTAGTCCAATCATCAGCACTAGTCAATAAAAGTATGCTGCTATTTATTCGTATGAATCAACACCGTGCTTCCAGTTGAATCCTACAGTCATTTATTAATAAACAAAAACGAGGGTGCAAGCTAGCTAAACAAGCTAAACACAGAATTTATTAAAGACGGGTTCTCTGAAGGATGACACAAACGCAGAGAAGTATCAAACACAGGTGAGTATTAATGGGCAAAAAGTGAATATGCGACCCAAAAAAGAAAACGTAGGGGAAGACATGAAGTCAGTCTTTACGATTTCTCTTCTGCTTGCCACTACTTTACAAAGGGAATTCCCTCCTGGGCCTTACAGCGTTTTACTGTTCACAACCCCTGACATACCCAAGGAGAGTAAACATTAAAAAGCAACCTACTAGCATTTGGGTAAATGTGATTGAACAAACAGGGAATGTCTTGAGCTTTCAACCTTGGAAATAAACAATATTCACAACATCAAGATTGAAAAAACAACAGACGGACGCATCACACCTGTTTCTAACAAAAATATAGGCCAAGAAACTTCTTCCACTCGATGGCAAAACACAGGGAAGGCGCGAATAGATTTCTAGATTTCATCATTGTTAGTGATTCTTTCAGTATACACTTGTGGCAGGGATGGGCAGTAATTCAAATACAAGTATTTGAAATCCCTATTTCAAATACTTTGTATATTTTGCATTTGTATTTAATTACGAATTGGGTAATGCATTTGACGTGTGTATTTAATACTAAAACGTAGGTATTTCAAATACAATTGTAATTAAATACAATTTTGCGGGCGAAAATACATCTTGTCTTTCTGCATGTGGTTGTAAGATAGTCTCCATCCTTTATTCGGCCATGGGGCTTTTTTCTTTTCTCCTCCGACTTTATATTAAAGGCACTGTCCAGAGCAGGAAGGAAACTACGTTCCGCATCGAATGCAGTGTCTCTCAATTAAGCACCAGCGTTTAGTGACTTTGTGATTACGGTGCTAGTCCAGGGCAAGAATAGTGACGAAATCGACGTTCACAGGCAGACTGACTAAATAAGTGCCTGTGACAACCTGTGATGCTTTCCAGCCTGATTTCCATCCATATTTTTGCCTGGAACAATCTAAATGCGTGGGTCGTCCAGATTTTCGTAACTGGTGCGAGTTGCAACAATAAAAAATTTTCTACTGCTGCGCGTCTTGGTCGTTTCGGTTCTTTGTTGGTCTATACTAAAATGTAATCGACAAAAAAGCTGCTTCAGCCTTTGTACTTTTTTCACCTATTGCGTCCAAGCTGATTACATTTTTGTTGTGATTATATTTCTATCACGTTACTAGAGCCTCCGATGCAAAATTAAAATGAGATACCCAGAAACCCGTTGCAGGTGCCCTGAAGTCGCTGACGCAAATTTTGAGCAATGTATTTAGAGAAGTATTTGGAGGAGACCAGATACATTTGGTTGTATTTGTATCTTGTATTTAAATGCTTTTTTGGTAATGTAATTAGATTTGTAATTAAATACACTTTTGGCGAAGTATTTTGTATTTGTATTTCGATACATATTTGTATGTATTTTGCCCACCCTTGACTTGTGGTCACTCTCTTTAGTCAAAATTATATCAGTAGTCTTCTACAAGGCCACACAATTATTACATTATATCACGTGTTTTGACACAGCTGAATACAGATCCATATTTTTCTGCAACATTTATACTAAGTTCAATCGGTCCTTAATGCAGGGTTTTTTCGCATGAAGTGCTCTACGAGTCGAGCGGGAATTTCTAGCGGTCCTTGGGACATGTCGTGCTGTAGACTTGTGTATTACTGGCTTTTCTTTGTTAATTTGTGGGATATGGCAAGCGGTAGTGAATTCATTGCAGGTCCCAGCTGCACCAAACGAGTAGACTCACCGTCAAAGACCGCAAGCCGCTATCTTCAAGCCGCGCAGAGTGTTCTATGAGGTGAGCAATCATGTTTGGCAGTCTTTGGTACATGCAGTGCTGGGGGTTTAAGTAAAACTGGCCTTATCCGTTTGATCCAGTTTTACTTCAGAAAAAAGTGGACCTCTATAGTGGGATGGTGCACGGCTGCATGTGCATGCACCCGGTATTTATGAAATTCATATATATATATATATATATATATATATATATATATATATATATATATATATATATATATATATATATATATATATATATATATATATATATATATATATATATATATATATATATATATATATATATATATATATATATATATATATATATATATATATATATATATATATATATATATATATATATATTATATATATATATATATATATATATATATATATATATATATATATATATATATATATATATATATATATATATATATATATATATATATACATAAATACAAAGCTTTTTATTTTGATTCAAACAAAGTTAAAAAAAAAAAAACGGCGTGAGTGTTACTTGGATGTTGACTTCAATATGTGTTTGTGGGGCTCAGAATACATAAGGGGAAAACCCTTAGCAGTATGTTATTCAAAACTAATTAAGCAAAATCTTTAATAATGGTTTTACGGGACATGTTTCAATTCTAGTTTCAAAGGCAGTGAATATTAAAGACTAGCACAATTGACACAATTTGTGAATGGCAACAAGTTTCGAAATATTCAGTGATAAAAATCTGCCTTTTCGTCGCCCAATTCCAAAACCTTGCGCTCAGAAGGCCTCAGGATGTCGTGCGGACCTGGTTGCTTCGGACGCACCTTCACTATCCCGGAAGTATGACGCCGATGCTTCCGCCAAGGACACACTGTCGAGATAGTGACGACGTACCCGGTATGACTAGGGGACTATTCTGCCCATTATTAACGGCACGAAATCATGAGCTCAAGCTGAGCACGGTTTTTGCATCCGACATTAAAATCCAAAAGTTGGACAATGAATACCTCCAAGCGGCTTGGCTTTTTGTGAATGGTTTAAATAGGGATAGCCTTTAATATTGACTGGCTTTTAACACTGCAGTTGCAACATGGTCCATAAAGCCATAAATGTAACAAGATACAAAAGTCTAGCAGCGTATCATAATACATCGCAAAAGTATTTCACTACTGAAACACAAATAGATTTCGGAAATACATTTCTGTACAGAAATAGAGATACTCGCAAGTGCCCCTAAGATTATATCGCAATACTTGCATGTTGTGATGTTGCCCCGATTGTAATTCTTCATTCGTTTTACATTGCTGCAGACACCGGTTACTTGTTCCAACATAAGCACTGTATGCCTGTGTGGAGGCTGATGCTCATGGCCTTAACTGCAGCGAATAATAGCAGTTGACAAGAGCAAACAAGTTTTGGACTTCTACATTAAAATATGTTTTGCATTATCCTTTTACCTAACGCAGGACGAGAACACCCCACCGACACCATGTGTCCTCTACAACAAGCGAGAGCTGGACGATGCAGACTTTCTTCAGCTTGTTGAGGATCGTGAGCGCTTGTTTTCCGTTTTTAATGCAGAAGAGGGGCTGTGCATGTTGTTGGCAGCATAGAATAGAATAGAATAGAATAGTTTATTCTAGGTTTCTTGCTGCAAGGGTGCACGCCGACCGGGACCGGGCGCTGGCGCAGGAGACTCAGGCAACTCTGGACGTTCTCAACGCAATGCAGAGAGCTCATCAGGAGGAGCTTCAGCGGGAGATCTGCAATCTCAAGGAGGGCTACGCCCACTGCATGAAGCACGGGGCCGCAGACTGGCTGCAACGGGAGCACTGGGAGGACCTTGAGCAGATCCATGGAGAGATCCTGTCTCTGTCCGAGCAGTTCTCCCGCCAGTGCCGAGAGAAGGCCTCCCTGGAGGAGAAGCTGCAGCTGGCCTCGCAGCAGCTGCACGAGGCAAACTTCAAGGTGCTGGACTTGCTGGCAAGGAACAAGCAGCTTTCTGCCCAGCTGAACCTGCAGGTGCTCCAGAGGGAGCAGGCGTCCCAGGACTCCCCGGAGGAACTTCAGAAGCTCTTGGTATTGAGGGGAAAGTCAGCTTGTGCAGCAGCATGAGGAGAACGCCCAGGCCGTGCATTGCCTCCAGCTGGCCGGAACGAAAATCAGCCAGCTGAGCAGCCAGTGCCAGCAGCTGGGGAACAGCCTGCGGGCGGAGCGTGGCTCTCGGCAGCTGGAGTCGCAGCGCCTGCAGGCTCGCCTCGACGGACTGGTCGCCTCACCTGTACCGGAGGAGGTGACGGGACGTCCCGCTCCGGAACGCAGATCTTCCCTGGGGGTCCGCAGGCACGCATCGCTCTCGTCAACCACAGAGTCGTCCAAGCCCAGCGGCCATTGCGAGGCGCCATCCCCCGTCAACTGAAGAGGGCAGCTAGAAACTGCGGTCTCCGCAGGCCAGAGCCCCGACACTGGTCTGGCTGCTCCTCTGGTTGGAACCCTCCCCTAGTGACAGAAAGGTCATCAAGGACATCGGCCGAGTCGGGAACGGACCGGCCGCATGATCCCAGCATGGAAGATTGGCAAAACTGGCACGATGCACGGTCAAGCTGGAAACGTACAGGCCGAGATTGCAGTATTGGCAATATATTGGCAGGACATCGGCCAAGTTAAGGCGCTCGGTGGTGCGATCCCAGCGTGGAAGATTGGCAATTCTGGCAAGATATTGGCAAAGTTAGAACGAACCAGACACTCCTGGTTCGTCGATGGAAGCACGTCGGCAACTCGCTGCTCCGGCATTCGCAAGTCCGTCACACTCGCCGCCAGAGAGGCCATTACAGCGACGCCCTCCTCCCGACGGGCACTTCGACAACTGCCAGGTCGTCCGACGCCAGCTTGTTCCCGGCCCCTTGCAGCAAGGTTGAAAAGCATATTGGCTTTTCAACATCCAGTACGAATGCAGGGCCTCCAACACACTGGTTGCTCTGGACAGGATTTTCCTTGGCTTGAGCGACGCCGATCCAAGGACAGTCGTAATTAAATGTTTGAGCAAAGTTTGCAAAAGGTATGTGGTTGAATACACGTTTTGTGAGCCGTTTTAAAAGTGTATAATTCACATTTCTCGCCAGTATTATCAGGTTAATTTTCATTTTGCTTCCAAAACTAATGATAGAAGGTTTTATGGAGGCATTTATTTCTTTAAATGTTGGGCACTTTCTGGGATAACTATTGCTGACCCCCTGTAGACGAGGTGCTTAGAATTCAGCTGTACGAGTTCCTTCTCCATAGTCGTCTTTCAGAACTTTATAATTTTTTTTGTACGTGAGCAAGAGGATAGCGTCTTCTACTGAAACGTTTGCTCTTTTGCCGTAGAGTGCAAGTTCATTCTGTAATAATTTTCATTACATATTTGCAGATAGCATTCATCATTTCATGGAATGACATACATTGTATTTTCCATTTCTCAAGGTTCAGTAAATGTTCAATTTAGCACATTCTAATTGATGTTATAATCAGCTTCACCCAATGAAATACTGCTGTGGTTCAGTCAAGGGCTAAACTACCCCAATCTACCCTGCTTCAAATTAGTAAACAGATGCACGTAGGAGACAAGTGATAAGCGAAGCGTGTTGCCTGCAATCCTCTGAGAAAAACAAAACATCTCACTTGATGTTTTAGTAGATCGCTCCCATGACTCCGATAACGATACCCGATACTCCGCCACCGCCTCCCTTGCGCATGCATGGTATCGTTATTGGGACTATCGGAGGTATCGGAACGATCTACTAAAACTCTCTATTGTTGCACTGTCCCTTCACCTCAAGTTACCTCTTTTTATTTTTTTATTGCTGCACTACCGGGGGATATTAATGGTGGGACCACGGACGACTGAAGTGGTCGTCGCAACCAGTGTCGTAAGACGTAATGCTCAAAATGTCCAATAAATATTGAGCAACCTTGCAGCAGCTTCGCGTGTCAGTACTATGTAAGAGTTTCTGGGGTTGAGTTATAAAACATGACCTCCCTAAACTCTTGACAGTCTTCTGAGGAACACTGAGGCAGTCTGTGATATATTATGTATCAAGTGTATAACTACAGCCACTTTCGGCCAGTGACTGGCCGGAAGTCAATGGCCAGTGGCTGGCCAAAGGTGAATAACTTGTCACTGGTCAAAGGTGAATGGCTAGTCACTGGCCAAATGTGAATGGCCAGTCACTGGCCAAAGGTGAATGGCCAGTCTTTGACCTAAAGTGAATGGCCAGCCACTGGACAAATGTGAATGGCCAGTCACTGGCCTAAAGTGAATGACCAGCGACTGGCATAAAGGGAATGGCAAGTCACCAGACGAGGACGAAAACACTTCTATTGCCGAGCACTTTGGCCAAGCTTGGGCCATCGAAAATCTGGTTGGCCATAGTACACTTGCCAGCGATGGCCCATTCACAACGTGCTGCTTCGGTAATGAGCGAAGTGCTCAAGGGTGTCGAGTCTTTCGCAGTTCCGTACCTCGATGACGTGGCTATTTTTTCCAGTAGCTGGGAGCAGCACTTGCAGCACCTACAAGAAGTATTCGCTATAATACAGAAAGCAGATTTAACTGAAAATGGCCAAATGTCTCGCCAAGGCTGAAGTTCAGTATCTGGGCCACGTTGTGGGCCAAGGGAAGCGCCGCCCGTCCGAAATAAAGGTTATGGCCATAAAAAAGTTTCCTTCGTCGAAAACAAAGGCGGACATGCGTTCTTTCATCGGTTTAGCCCAATTATTACCGAAACTACATTCCTAACTTTGCGCATATCGCTGGCCCACTCACAGACGCTCTTCGCAATGCAGAGCCAAATGTCGTGCGCTGGACCCAGGAACGTAAGAACGCCTTTCTCCGGATCAAAGAGCTTTTAGCAAGCGATCCTGTGCCAACTTCGCCAGACTACAGGCGTACCTTCATAGTGCAGTGCGACGCGAGCAACCGTGGCTTGGGCGTTGTCCTCGGCCAGGTAAACGAGAAGGACGAGGAACATCCTGTTGTATACGCCAGCAGAAAACTAGCAACACGCGAACAGCATACAGCACAGTAGAAAAAGAGTGTGCTTGTATAGTACGGGCTATCGACAAACTCGTGCTATCTCAAAGGATCTTCATTCATTTTCGAGACTGACCACTGCCCTCTCGTGTGGCTTAATCAGATGTCGAAAAAAAAACGGTCGTTTAATGAGGTGGAACCTGGCCCTCCAACAATTTACACTCACGGTGCGGCACAAGAAGAGCAAAAATCACGCCAATGCCGATTGCCTGAGGTGCATTCTTTAGTGTTACTCTAATTCTGCGTGAAAGTCCCCACAGAATCATTTTTTTTGTGCAAATTTTAGTTGGAGATTTTGCGATGTTGAGGCTTATGACTGAACTTAACTTTGTCGAAAGTGCATTGCATTGCACCGCTCCTAACGATTTCAAGGGGTCTGGCCTTGCTGGGTTGTGGCGGCGGATTGGTCCCGATGGTTGAAAAAACCCCGAGACTGCGGGTAAACGACACAACACTAAAAAGTCTTTTAGAGACTTTTTAGTGTTGTGTCGTTTACCCGCAGTCTCGGGGTTTTTTCAACCATGTGCAATGTACACCAGCTCGTTTGCGCCCTTACTTTTTGTTCATTGGTCCCGATGTCGTTTCTGCCGCTCGTCTACCAAGTCATTTCAGCTCTTCGGCTTGCTGCTCTCCTGCCCGAGGTCCAGACTGCCCGAATATCTGGGTGCTTTCCGGCTGCCTTCTTTGTTCCGCCCCAGTCCTGCCTCTTTGAAGCTTCGCAAGCACAGCGGCGTCCGCGCTTCAGCGCCCTTGCCCGAGAACGGAGAGGCGTCCGCGCTTCAGCACCTTTGCCCGAAAACAGAGCGGCGTCCGCACTTTAGCACCCTGGCCCGAGCGACCCTTCCAAGACCTGGCGACTGTGGCTTGCTACCCTGTTGACTTGCACATGACTCGCAAGCTTACTTCATGAAGTCGTCGTCTACCAAGGCCTTCAGCGTGCTACATGCCTGTCTCCTACTTTTCCTGCATGCACGAACTACGTGGAGGTCAAACGGCCGCAGCTCGGCTCTCGCCTTTTGGGATGCTTCGACAGGTTCTACGTCTCCAGTTACTCAAGAGGCGTCAGCCTGTTGGCCAACTTCCGAACTGGATAGCATTTGCCGAGCTGTAACAATTGCGGTGCTATACTACGCTTCGCTTCCTGATAAGTTTAGTTGGTGCGGCGCGATATTGCATTTCTTTCTTTTTGTCCGGTCCTGATTGGATACAGGATCCTTAAAAGCGAACTTGCTTTTATAATAAAGACAGATCGTTCTTCCAGCAGAGATCGAGTCTCGTTCCGTCGTCGAACCGCCGGTAACGTAAGTGTATGCGGGCATATCTTTTCGATCACAACCCACGTGCGGATACTTTTTAATAGGTAAACGAGACCCTTGGTAAGTGATGTTGAAGTGCTGATAATGATTTGAGCAATTGCATTCTTTTTTTTTTGCTTCAACTTTATTCAATAAACAGAAAGCAGCCGTTCATTCCAACATTACTTTTTACTTCTTAATGCACTAGGGGCTCCAACAATGCCATTTCTACTCTGATTGCGTGCATTGCCCTGTACCAGTTCGTCTTGCTGCAAGCTGTACCATTTGAGTTACAATCATAAAAAAATATCAACAGTATAAGTAAGAAAAATCAAGCCACTTTGACTTCGCTAAGAATGACGTAAACCCTTCCTTGATCGAAGTTTTTTTTTTTCTTGTTTTATTTTGGAATAGTAAAAATAAGTCAATGCACATATGTTCTTTTCATTATCTAAACGGGCACATGCAGTGCTGGCAAGCTACTCAGATTGACAAGCATCGAATGAAAATATTGAGGTTGAAAATTTGTCGCGATTCTTCAATTTGGTTTTATTTTAACGCATGCGCTTCCACTTCATTCCGGGAGTATCAGACTCCGTACCGCAAGTACAAAGTACAAGTTTTCTTACCTTTAACGGTGTAAAAGGGGTGTTGTAGCAACTTACACCCGGGGCTACACTTTTTTATCACCTTTAAATCTAGCAATACACCCCCATAATTTTCCCAAAAGGCGCGCTGTTTCCCGTTACACCCTCCATTTAATGAGGGGTGTAAGAAGGGTGTAGAAGAGGGTACTAAATAAATAATACGAAAAGGCTTTGGAAAGCTTATAGATAGCTCTAATCATAATGCACACGTTAGATTTCTGCTTCAACACCTACGATTGTTAGCAGTCTTCTTTTTCATTAATATCAGTTGTAATTCATGCAAATAGTTGATAATAAAGTGTCTCTTTTGCATACAATTTTCGTTTGCTAACAACTTTTGATAGATGAGTTCATATTTAAATTTCTCACAAATTACTCCGCGATCAGAAATTTGAAACCATGGAGAACTATTTAATAATTGCGTTTTTTACAAATATTTATTGGTGGAAGTGTACAGTAAGAAATTCAGTTAATCTCAAGTTTATATCTGACAACACGACATGAAATCAAAATAAAGTAAATATGTTCGGCAAATATTCATGACGTGCTGCTAGAACCTGTCACATGACCATGTCAGCCTAGGTAAAATATTTATTTGAGAATATGATTACATGCACAATAACTCACATACATAAAGAGGCAGAACCCATATTTAACCAGACCGGGACATCCCATAAAAATGGCCTATGAT